GGGTTAGTAGGTTATTCCCGTTGAGGAAACCACAGCTTGTAGAACTATTACGGCAGAACAGAGCTATTGACCTAGAGTTCATGCCCACTGAGCATGCTGTAAGTAACTATTTGAGTGGCTGGCACATGCATGTTGATAGGAAGAAAGACAGCGCTGATATCAAGCCTCTAATCGCTGAAAAAGTCAATGAGGAACTAAACGATTTGGGAAGTATAAAGTTTCAAATCACAGTGAAAATGTCGATCGATTAACAGCAAGGGGGAACCCCCGATGGTGTCATTGAGTACGTTCAGCCTTACTTCCGAAGTAAACAAGAAGTCGTGACTCATACCGAGACTATAGACGAGTCAATCGATATCAGTTTTCAGCAGATACGAGAATACCTAGAACGCTACACACACATGGGGTCCGGGTGGGTTGTTGATAAAATCGATAATGTCTATCTAGACATAGCTAACTACGTGCCATTCAGAGGGGGTCGTACATAGACTTGTCTCCCTACTACAAAGCAAAACAGGCCATGGTCAACGTCAAGAATAGAGGAGACGATTGACTGAGGGTAGCTACCAGGTCAGCCTGGTTTCCAGCTGACACTCATTCGGACAGGCTTTCTAGCTATCCCCAAGATGATGGGCTCAACTGGGATGGTACAGATGAACCAACCCCCATATCCCAGATCACTAAAGTAGAAAAACAGAATAATATAGCTTATAATGTCTTAGGGCACGAAGGCGACAAAACGATCGTGCACAGGATCAGCCCAATGTTGGGGAAGGGGGGTCGCCGTGTGATCAATATATTCATGACCCAGCGAGGTGACTACACGTGGATAAAACACCTCAGCAGGCTGTTGCACGACCAGTCGAAATACGATGGGAAAAAACACTTTTGCATACGATGCCTACACGGCTTCACACGAGCTGATTTAATAGAATCCCACCGGGAGGATTGCCAAGGTGTGGGGCAGACGGCCATACGAGTCGACATGCCTAAGGAAGGTGAAAATATCTTAAAATTCGGCAACAACAAGAATCAGATGTCCGTGCCTTATGTCATCTACGCCGACTTCGAAGCCTTGGTCAAACCCGTTGAGGCTGCTGCCGGCAGGGCCACACAAAAAACACAGGAGCACGAGGCCTGTGGGTTCGGATGCGTGGTCGTCCGATGTGATGGGGAAACGAAAGCTCCCGTAGTGTACAGGGGTCCCAACGCGGCTGAAAAGTTTCTAAAGTGTTTGCAGGAGGAAGAGAAAAGTATTCGGAAAGTGCTGTATACAGTCGCTCCCATACGTATGACTCAAACCGACCGGCTAGCTCACGGCTGCAGTACTCACTGTTATGTGTGTGATAGCCCACTGAACGGTGATTCGGTGAGAGATCACTGCGACGTCACCAGTAAGTATTGAGGCGCCGCTCCCAACGCGAGCAACCTCAAGCTTAGAATCACCCCCAAGACAATAAACATCCCCGTGGTCTTCCACAACTTGAGAGGGTACGACTCTCACTTGATCATGCAGGCCATCGCGAAAGTTGACGGCAACCTGACGTGCATCCCCAACAACATGGAGAGATACATCTCCTTCAGCTTGAATGGCCTGAGGTTCATTGACTCGGTTCAGTTCCTCCTGTCGTCACTCGACAGTCTAGTCAAGGCCAACGATACCTTCCCCATCACCGACAGATACACCGACGCCGAGACTCGACCCCTGCTGATGAGGAAGGGTGTGTACCCCATACGAGTACATGGATGGCTGGGCCAAGTTCGCCGAGACCCGACTACCCCCCATCAACCGATTTTACAGCAACCTGACCGACTCGACAATCACCCAAGACGATTACTCGCACGCGATTAACGTATGGAATAAACTGGGCTGTAAGAATCTGGGTGACTACCACGACCTGTACTTGAGGACAGATGTACTCCTGCTAGCAGACATGTTCGAGACGTTTAGGCGGACATGTTTTAAGCAGTACCAACTCGACCCCGCAATGTACTACACCTGCCCAGGTCTGTCGTGGGATGCATTGCTGAAAAAGACCGGAGTTAAGTTGGAATTGCTCACCGATTACGACATGCACCTATTCATTGAGAAAGGCTTGCGAGGTGGGATTTCCATGGCTACCAAACGATACGCGAAAGCCAGTAATCAATACGTGAAGGGCTACGACCCAAGCAAGCCAACCAATCATATTCTCTACCTCGAAGCCAACAACCTGTACGGCTGGGCCATGAGCCAGTATCTACCCACAGGGGGATTCGAATGGGCATCTCACGAGATCGCTGTTATGAGCATCGTGCCGGATTCGAACAAAGGCTATATCCTCGAGGTGGACTTGGAATACCCCAAGGCCTTACACACATCGCACACCAGCTACCCCCTGGCCCCCCGAACATATGAGGGTTAACCCAGACTGGATGTCTGAGTACCAACATAACTTGTTAGGTGGGCGGGTGGCAGACGTTGAAAAACTATTGCCCAACTGAATGAATAAGACCAAGTACACCGTTCACTATCGCAACCTGCAGCTGTACCTGTCGTTGGGTATGAGGCTGACCAAAATACACAGGCTGCTCGTGTTCGACCAGAGCCCCTGGATGGAGCCCTACATCAGAATGAACACAGACCTGCGAAAGCTGGCCACCAGTGACTTTGAGAAAAACTTCTACAAGCTCATGAACAACTCGGTGTTTGGTAGGACTATGGAGAACTTGAGGAAACGCATGACCATGAAGCTGGTTCGGTCGAAAGAGGAAGACAAGCTCAGGAGACTGATAGCCAGCCCGGCATTCAACCGGAGCAAGATATTCACCGACGACCTGGTGGCCCTACACATGAAAAAAAGCCACATCAAATTCAAGCGGCCTGTTTACATGGGGATGAGCATCCTTGATTTATCCAAACACCTTATGTACGACTTTAAATACAACGAACTGAAGAAACAGTACGGCGACAGGTGTGAAGTGCTGTACACTGACACGGATTCCCTGCTGATGGAGATTCGAACCAAGGACGTGTACGAGGACATGAAGAAACGCCTCCATTTATACGACACCAGCGACTACCCCAAGGACCATGCCATACACAGCACGGTAAATAAAAAGGTCCTAGGTAAGATGAAGGACGAGTGTGCTGGCACGCCCATAGCTGAGTACATAGGCTTGAGATCCAAGATGTACTCCATCCTGAAGGCCGACAATGGTCAGATCCGGAAGGCAAAGGGTGTTAAGAAGTACATGGTTAAACAACACATCAAACACGCCAGCTTCAAGGAAGCCCTGTTCAAGACCCGTACCTTCAGGCATAAAATGAACACGCTTAGAAGTGATGGGCATAGGATATACGGACTGACGATAAACAAGACATCCCTGTCGCCGATGGACACTAAGCGTTGGGTAGCTATTGATGGGATCAACACGTACACGTATGGGCATGAGAAAATTGAACCAAGAACATAGGTGCATATATATATATATATATATATATACACGATACCCTGTGACAACGATGTCACGGAACCAAAGAAAGTTTGAGGCTATTTACAACAGCCCGCGAGGGTACTGGAAAGGAGCTAGCGCCGGGCATAAGCTGGCTAAAATGGCGTGAGTACCCCCAAACGAGGCCAAAGCGTGGCTTGAAAAACAAGCCCTGTGGCAGATCTATTTACCGGCACCACGCTACGTGCCTAGAAGGAAGTTTGATATTAACATACCCAATAGCGTGTACCAGGCCGACCTTCTGTTTCTACCCCACGACAAGAGGTCGTGGCCAGCCGCTACAAGGAAGCCGAACCCTTGACCGCGAAAGACTCGGCCGAGGTAGCCCGCAGATTCGACCGCATGTACAAACGCAGTCTGCTGACGTGGCCCACAGAGCTGCAAGTCGACCCCGGGCAGGAGTTCATGAGTGCCGTGTCACAACTGCTAGACAAACACGATACCAAGGTCAGGCGTGGCGCTGCTGGGGCTCATCGCAGCCAACCCATAGTTGCGAGATATTCAATCGGACTTTGGCAGAGCTCTTATTCGGGCATCAGTATGCGAGAGAGATGGCCAACCCGGGGAAACGATCGACTGAATGGGTAGCGTGGCTACCCCAGGTGGTGTCGGCCATCAACCACGAAACCACCCGTCTCACCGGAAGAAACCAGCCGACGCTATCAAACTAAAATCAATATTAGCCGAGTCGGCTGCACCATTGCGTGGGAAGGAGAAACAGATACCTGATAGGGCCCTCGTGAGGTACCTCTACCAGCCGGGGAACACGAAGGTGACACTCGGAAACGAGCCACCAATCTGATATGGTTGGTCTAAACTTACAACATAGATAAAGTGGACATGAAAGCCGACGAGCCGAACTTGTACTACTTGAGAGATGGGCCAGGGAGAGGTTTGTCAGAGAGGAATTATTAGTCATACCGTACGGCACAATGTTACCCCCCAAGCAAAATATTTAACACTTACCAAGTAATCCCAATAGTATCCTGTAACCAACTGTTTCCTGTCAACACGACATAGGGTAATCACATGATCAGGAAAGTACTAGTTCACGACATAGCGACACTATTGTGCCACGTGGGGTCGGGAAGTTAACTTTGAGAAAAAAAGCTTTGCAGAGGCTTTTGTTGGACTTGGTCTCGGACCGCTATTGTATCTACTACTTTGATCACAATTGTGAATCCCCATGTGTGCCCGTAAATCACCTAATTGTGCAAATTTTCCCCCACATGCAACACATTCCTAAGGCTTGATTCCACTGTGAATCCTCATGTGATTCTGAAGAGTACTTGAATTTGTAAATTTCTTCCCACAATCAACACATTCATACGGCTTGATTCCACTGTGAATTCTCATGTGTGCCTTCAGATTACTGGAATGTGTGAACTTTTTCCCACATTCAACACATTCATATGGCTTGATTCCATTGTGAATCCTCATGTGGGTCTGCAGATTTCCTGATTGTGTAAATGTTTTCTCACACACAATGCACTGATGAGGTTTGCTTCCACTGTGAATTCTCATGTGTTCCTGCAGACTATCTGTTCTTGTAAATGTTTTCTCACACACAACACACTGATGAGGTTTGATTCCACTGTGAATCCTCATGTGTCTCTGCAAACCACTTGATTGTGTACATTTTTTCCCGAATTCAACACAGTTATAAGGCTTGATTCCCTTGTGAATCCTCATGTGTCTCTGCAGAACACTTGAATATGTAAATTGTTTCCCACATTCAACACATTCATACGGCTTGATTCCACTGTGAATTCTCATGTGTGCCTTCAGATTACTGGAATGTGTGAACTTGTTCCCACATTCAACACATTCATAAGGCTTCATTCCACTGTGAATCTTCATGTGTCCCTGCAGAGAACCTAATTGTGTAAATGTTTTCTCACACACAATGCACTGATGAGGTTTGATTCCACTGTGAATCCTCATGTGATTCTGAAGAGTACTTGAATTTGTAAATTTCTTCCCACAATCAACACATTCATAAGGCTTGACTTCACTGTGAATTCTCATGTGTGCCTTCAGATTACTGGAATGTGTGAACTTTTTACCACATTCAACACATTCATCAGGCTTGATTCCACTGTGAATCTTCATGTGATCCTGCAGATGACCTGATTGTGTAAATGTTTTCTCACAAACAATGCACTGATGAGGTTTGATTCCACTGTGAATCCTCATGTGTGTCTGCAGACCACCTGACTGTGTAAATTGTTTCCCACATTCAACACATTTATACGGCTTGATTCCACTGTGAATTCTCATGTGTGCCTTCAGACTACTGGAATGTGTGAAACTGTTCCTGCATTCAACACATTCATAAGGCTTCATTCCCTTGTGAATCCTCATGTGTTCCTGCAGATTAACTATTTTTTTAAATGTTTTCTCACACACAACGCACTGATGAGGTTTGATTCCACTGTGAATCCTCATGTGTCTCTGCAGACCACCTGATTTTGTAAATTTTCCCCCACATTCAACACATTCATAAGGCTCGATTCCCTTGTGAATCCTCATGTGTCTCTGCAGTTTACCTGATTGTGTAAATCGTTTCCCACATTCAACACATTCATAAGGCTTGATTCCACTGTGAATCCTCATGTGTTCCTGCAGATTACCTGATTGTGTAAAAGTTTTCTCACAGACGATGCACTGATGAGGTTTGATTCCAAATGTGAATCTTCATGTGTTTCTGCATATGACCTGAAATGTTAATTTTTTGTCAATCCTCATGTGTCTCTGCAGACCACCTGAAATGTTAATTTTTTGCCCACATTCAACACATAAGGGTTGATTACAATGTGAAACTTCATATGTTTCTGAAGATAACCTGACAGTCTCAATGATTTAACAAATTCAACACACTCATTCGGCTTGAATCAACTGTGAATCGTCACGTGTGTCCGCAGACTACTTGAATGTGTACAGTTTTCAAACATTCATTACATTATACTCCACTGTGAATCTGCATATGTACGTTAAGAGTATCTGATCCTGTAAATGCTTTCCCAAATTCATAGCGCTTGATTCCACTGTGAATCATCACATGTATCTGAAGATTATCCAATAGTGCGAAGCTTTTCCAACATTCAGCACACTCATATGCCTCGATTCCACAGTGATGGAGGGCATGCCTTTTTTAGAAAATGTTTCCAGGCTTTCATAAACCAGGTGTTTTGAAACTATTTCGAGGTTTCTTTTATGAGATCACCTAGTTCCAGGGTTCCAACAACAGCTTTTGTCATGAGATCACCAGTTTCCAGGGTTCCTATGTATGGGTACTTTCTTGATATCACCAGTTTCCAAGGTGTCAGTAAAAATGTTTCTTGAGATCTCCTTTTTCCAGCAAACCCCTTTAGCAGATTCCATTTGTTTTAGTGACAGGAAAAGGATTCTGTGGATTGCTTTCAACTTCCATCAATAACCAATGGATGTTATGGTGTTTACTGAAAACATAAGAAAAGATGTCACTCTCTTATAACAACTAGGTTAGGGACTATACACAATATAATGGTATGACATAAACCTGATACTTTGAAAATGTCTTCCCACACACAACACACTTGAATGATTTTCAATATTCAGCATGGAAAACGCCAATGATGGGATGTATGATTATCCAAACTGTTATTGACATTACTATTTACTGGCTAACTATGATTATTCTGTCAAAGAAACAATTGTTGTCTTGCATATCCAAACTGATATTGACATTACATATTTACTGGCTAATGACTAGTTCATTATTCTTCCAAAGAAACAATTGGATGTCTTGCATACGGTATAGTTTAATACACTCTGCACCATTGAGTAAAATACAACATGTCAATGAATATAATTTCATCTAACTTATTCCATCTAATTAAAATATTGTCATCAGCATACTTATAGTTTATAACACTCTGCCTATGGAATTGGAAAAATACAAATATGTCTTCATGTAGAAGGTAATTTCATCTGCAACTTGTTCTCGTCTATATGGCTGGAATAATAATTTTAAAGCATAATAACTCATCACTATATAGGAAGTCACAAGTTTTGGTAATCTGACTAATGAGCTGAAAGCGAGGTATTTTATTTATTACCACGTCTTAGGAAGGACAAAACAGCATACTTTGTTAATTGCAGACTTGTTTCTCCGTCAAACCATATGCAAAAAGCGGTTGCGGAAAAATATTGTTCTGTAGTTCACTTTTGCATGACGGGACACCGTATTAACGTGTTTGCTATGAATGAACAAGTAGTTCCGTCACAACGTGACCTATTTGAGACGTCATCGGTTATCCAATCAAATCGTTAGAATCTCTGGTCAAGTCGTTACAACACAGGTCAACGCGATACGACACTCGTGTGACGTACGAGATTAGTATGCAACTACCCATACGTTGACTATGTGGGTAATAACATAGGAGTGACACACCAAATCATTAAACACCTGGAGGGCCTTTAGATCCAGCAACAAAACCTTTCGTGGGTTGACAACTTTTAAACATTTATTTCTCAACGACATGAATGGTTGTCCTTGACACAAAATGTCACATCATAGCACCATGATCAGGAAAAACAATACATACACAATTTATATTTAGGCTCAATATGGAAAGACGTTGTGCTACGAAATTCTCATTCTAGACGTGTACCGGCACATGTACCACCTGCGTAATCCTCTCAAAGCTACTGTCAAACCCATTCGACAGGAGAGCAGCATTATATCATCTCCAAATAAACCTTGCAATAATTTTTCAAAAAGTCGGATTTACGTGTCATTTGAATTGTGTATTGAATGCGTTAAATCTCAGCTTTCTAAATATATAATCTTCAAGTAGTTTATATACCTTAAAACGAAACGCCTGCGAATAAAAAATGTGACAGTAAAATTTCTCAAATAACTTCTGGTACATCACGTTGAGTGGAACCCAGTCTAATATTTTCTTCACAAAGAAATATTTTTTTTAAATTTGATCAACATTTTTTTTCTTTTGTGAAGAGGAACCACTGAAGTGTCTCGTTTTCTAAAAATTAGTAACTTTCGGTTTAACTGGTTAAAAGCAAAAACAACCTCCATGTTACATCACCGATTGGATGAATAGGAACGTTCATGCCAACGGTGGTAAACAAACAACTCCACCATGCATCGTGATTCCGAAAAGAATGTGCCATCCCCTTGGTAGATCTAACTCTTTTCTCTGGAATTAATTACATTGTCTGATTAATGAAATGTCATTGTCTTTGTACAAATATTATTATATTTATCAAGTATATAATAATTTTGTTAGATAAACCTTCCAACATTGAAAGTGTTGACAGCCGTAGGTGACGCGTATGAGCGTGAACAAACTCGCGTGTTTTTAGGGTGACAAGACTTGAAGGATGTTTAATAATACGCGTTCATAAGCAGAACCTGAACTCATATATAAATTCAAAGAAAACTACTCAGTACCTAAATAATGCAGATCATGAAATATTATCACAATATTTGAAATTCTACCCACCCTTGATGAAACCGGAAGCAAGTACGGCATGGCACACATGGAGGTAAACTATGCATGAGTTGGAAAACAACCATTGATACTTTTTCTAAATTGATTGAAATTCCCCTAAAATCCAAATGATAAAATAGAATTAATTTTTCAGTCATCTTCAATTGGTTAATGTTAGTTGTTTTCAAGAAGTACTTGTCATTTTTTGCTTGTATATTTTCCTTCCTCAGTATTGCCGCTGGTGCATAGATCTCTATTTTTACAAATCCAAAGTCGTAATGAATTTAACGGTCGGTGATTTTCGAATAATGTTCTGACACAGGGAGATATTATTAAATGTTAGTATGTCATAACAATAAAATACAATTGTTCTGTGTCTACCATCGCAAGGACAATTTTGGTGGTTGAAGATGTCATGCATGAAATCTTTTTCCTTTCTCAAAAACGGATGAAACCAGATCTAGTGTAAGAATGTAATGTTAATGAATTTCTTAAAAACTGGTATGACGCGATAAAAAAATAGTCATCGTCTGTGTGAATGCATTTCACTCAAAATCGATATTTATTTTAGACATTAAAACAGGTAAACAGCACATCTTTTATTCTTCAAGTTGGAGCATAATTGAAATATACTGAAAAGCAAAAGAAAACGCCAGCTTTTTGTCCATTTTCTCAATAGAACAAAACCAAAATTATGTGTAATCATTTATTCTATAGAAAAAACTGTCAATTTAGCAGCTGAAAGTTGCAAAAACATTGAATTGCAATAAGTTTAAATTGATCACAGTCCGTCAAATGGAGATACCCCTGAACGCGAAAAGTGACAGTCTCTTTAGTAGCGCATATAGCCACCTTGACCTTGCAAAGAGGCCGTGCAACGTCACCTCGTTGAGTTCACTAGAGTCTGAAAGAATACCTGAAGCAAGTGATTCCATTCAAACAACAGTCTCTGTTCCAACTGTGCAAGTGTGAATCGCTGTCTACCTGCAGCAATCCTACGTCCAATGTCGTCCCCGAATGTTCAGTGGGAGCCATATCCGGGGAAAGAGACGGCCATGGAAGAACATTAATGTTGTTCTGAGCCAGATAATCCATTGACATCCTTGCTGTGTGAGGGCTGTAAACGTCGCTGGCGTTGTTGACCTGTGTCACTATTGGCCAAACAAATGGCCGTCGGCAGTGGATTCCAGCAGCCCGAAAGACGACGACGTCAAATCGTATCGGTTGACACTGCTCCCCTTGACCCATGAACTGAGGCAGCTGTTACTGTTGCTGCTTGTGTTTGGTTTCTCTAGATGAGTGGCCCGGATGAACTGATCTTGTGCATGAGTTGCCACTCGTGGCCGTCCGGTATGGGGACGATCAGCAGCAACCCCAGTTTGCTGACGACGTTGAGCAAGTCCTGTAATGGTGGTAAGATCATCTTAGATGACAGCCCAATTGTCTAGCTAAAGCGGTTGCAGAGCTACCTCCGTGCAACTTTCTAATGGCCACTCCCCTCTGCTCTGTCATTAGTCTACGCATCGTTTGTGTCGCGTGTACACCTCCTAGCGTCAATACTCAACTGTTTTTGACACAAACATAAAAGATACCTCAGAGTGAAATGCATGCATTCCATCCAGAACCATCGATGCACGTGCTAACATT